ATAGGACCTCTGGGCTTGATCGTGTTCTTCAAGATATGAATCCTTGTTTCAACAAAATACGATCGGCTCTCTCAACGGCAACAGAAAATCAGAAACTGATCCACAAAGCAAGCAATGGCACAACACTATCGGCCAATTGCCACTGTTGCTGTCGAAATGCAGGAACTCCACTTTGCAATCTCGAGGCAGCACTGGCTGCATCGTCTTCTTGACCATCCCTGCATCGTCTTCGTACGCAAAGACATCGATTGTTCATGGGTGAAGTGTTGACTTCTTCATACATGTTCCCACCAAGGTAGGGTGTCGGATGAAACACCACCAAAAAAAGGGCCCGCAACTGGATGTTGGTAACATGTAGGACATGTAGGATGAACTCTTCTAGATTCATCATGTGAGCTCACCACGAGTTGTCTTGAAACGCATGGGACAGTGTACCTCAACTGTTGCATGTACTTCCCATGGTGAGGTCGCATAGGCATGTCAACTGTTGCACTTCCCATGTCAAATGAAACATGTGACCTCACCACGAGAAGCACGCCGTGACACAACGAGACTCCTTTTCGTGCGAAACCATGCCCACACCTGGATGCCGATCTTGATCGATGCTCATCCTGATTTGGCAGCACCTGACCCACATGAAGACCACTGAAAGAAGCCCATACCCTTTCGCAGCGAGCTCGAACACGGTCATTCACGGTCCTTCGTCCCGGTCCTTTGGCGACGTCGACACCATCTGAAGACGGTGTCGAAACGCATGCCGAAACGAGATGTTCCGTGTGGGACCAGTGATCAGTACCACAGATCGGAGGCCATTTGGGGTGTCTATTCTATAGTCATAGTCCCCCCATTTCGGAGGTCATTTGGGACACTCTATGAATCCAGTCGATGCTGGCTCGTCGCTTCAATGTCCAACCGCCATCGAACCGACGAGCCACCTGTCCGGTCGATCAGCGACACCGGTGGGAAGGTCCTGGTATAACTCGTAAGATGAAGTGACCTGAAACACTTCACCATGAAAAACAACGATTTTTCATGTTCAGTTTGCACTTGCCTAGGTTGTTGAATGGTCGGATGGTCCTGGTGTAATATTTAAACTCACCTCAAAAACCAAACACGCCGTCACTCGTTTCTTAAATCAACGTCTCTTCGTCACCTCTTTGCGGCCATGGCGCGGGGAGAGCGCCAGCGACTGGAGGTCTCCTCCCTCCATCTTCCATTTCCCTGAGGATCGGTAGGCCGCACGACGACTCGTCTGACTCAAATTGATCGGTGTGCACCAAAGGCTTTTTTAATGGTTTTTTACAATGGTCCGGCGTGAAAAGGAGGTCGATATACCCTAAGGATCCGCCTCAAAAACAAGGGTTTGGTTCGGGGCCCCAAACCCTTGTGAACAGCAGGGTTCGACCCCTTCTAACAATGCGGCAATCGGTGGACGAGGAGGTTTGGTTCAGCTCCGGCTCCGATCCCTGCCGTGGAGGGCCTGGGGGGGTCGGATTCGTACTTTTCTGCCATGGTTTCAGAGTATAGATGACTTAAACAGATTGGGAGGGTCCACTACTAAACATACTAAACTTAAGGTCACTGCCATCGAACCTCTCATACCTCTGGGTATATCCTATTCCAGAATCTGTTACCCTGGGCCAGGTGGATGAGGATATATTACCCAGACACAACCCAGACAGGACTGGTCTATTTACCGATGCCGCGTAGAAGACATGTTGAACCCCAAAAACGACCACGAGGGGTTAAAGTATCCAGGCGGACTCATTGGGCCCTCCGTCTTCAGACCTTAAGGATATCAAGTATTTGTTGAGGATGTATTTTGGTTCCAAAAACATGTTTGTTCATTTCTTGGAAGTACTTTCACCTCCAAAACCATCTAAAAAGGAGGTCCATGGACCCTAGGTGGGTGGGTCTGCTGCAGTACAGATCTGGGCCGGGGCTGCGCACACGTCCCTGGGTCAGCTGTACACACTAAAGGTTTTGCGGGGATGGGGTAAGGGAGGGTGGGTGGGGCTAACGACGTTCACTTTGACTAGCATGGAGAACAAACATTGAATGTTGAAGTGGGGTGGGGGGTGAAGGAATGACTACAGCATGTGAAGTGTAGGCAAGCAGTGCCGCCACAATGGGTAGAACGAGTGTGCTATACGAGGACAGCCCCAAACAAGACCCCACGCAACAGTGGGGGTGGGTGAAAGGAAAAGGTCACTTAGATGCAGAATTATCCCTGTGACACCTTCAGAACAAATGTGATTGGTACAGTTCAATGGCTGCGCAAACAGCATACAAACCAACAAAAGAAACCAGAAGCCGACAACATCGGGAGGGGCAAGAAAACGGGGTGGGATGTGTTCCCGGTATATGTACATGTGAGGTGTGAGACTAGATACAAAGGTTGAATACTTGAGGTCAGAAAGAGCAAAAACAAATACAGGGTTGGGTTGGAGCAGCTTCACACCAAGGCTATGGATCACCCAATTTGTGGCAATTGAAGCGAGTCCACATTCAATATCAAAAAACTTCAAGTGGGAGGCAACTTCCGTGGTCTCGAGGTCACCGTTTCGCCGCACCGCCGCACCACTTTCTTGTGGCGCAAAGCAAAGTCTCTATATATCATGACTTGCTTCGAAGCATCTGCTAACATCCTTGCGCACCGTGTTGTTGGTGGTTATATTGAAAGAGTTGTGCTTTTCAAAAGCTGTAGACTGTAGCCCGGGCTCGAATGGACATCGTCCTTGATGGCTGGTACTTGGTTACTCCCTTTCACTAACTCTTGCAGTAGAAGCTGTCATAGAACAGGTAGACTAACAGGTAGATCTTCACTCGCACTTTTCGATATGAACGCTTTGCTTGTCAACACATAGGGCTGTAAGTGTCTGAACTTCTAGGCGGTCCTCGCCATAATACCACACCGCACCATCATGCTGACGCACCAGGCTTACAGGCACATCGTCCTCTGCACATGTTGATGCTGGCCTCTACTCCACACCAGTCGCTTGGGCATTTGATGAAGACGCGGATGCCGTGTTTCTCACGCTGAAAAAGAACGAAATCAAAAACGCTTCACTGCGTAGTAAATGGTTGCTTTCCATTCAATCAACGTGAGCTGAACACCTGTAATGACTTCAGCTTTATATGTAAACAGGAAACATTTGTTTCCAGAAACAATCAGACTCTCCACGCTTACCTCTCCCATGCTCTTTCTAAAGGCTGACAAATTATAGCACTAGCAGGAGTGCCGATGTAAATGTAAAATCGACAGTACTTTATTCCTTTATGTAGTGTTAAAGCCAGCAAAGCCTGCTTTTACCTCAAAAAATTATGTTTCGTTTATGTTTCTGTTTGTATGTACGTTACGTGTTGTTTGCTTCCACGTTTCAACTATGTCTTCTACATGCTGATGGTTCCTTTCCTTGTATGTGATTTGTTGTGGCACTTGTCACTTTGCTCGCACTACTTGTACGCTTCTACTACTGGCGTGAATAAACAGCGTGCCTACCACCGACCCCCGCTTTGTTTCGCGTGAACCAACCACTGGGGTAGGGAGCCGGAGCGGAACCCAAATCCGTTTCTGCGGGTATCTCAAAGCACGCCGAAGTGATCGCTGTTGGAGGAGCGCCCAAGTGCTCGACTCCGAGGCAGAGGGGGGGGGCGACTTGAAGTGCATCCAGGTGAGCTACCATTACAAAAAGCTGCTTCTGGACCTGGATAGATTTGAAAACGCAGTGCCCCTGTCCCCTGTTCAGTCTTTTTTTGTAAAGACCAAACAGGTGGATGAGAAGACCTCTACTAGCGGATGCGAGCCGCATTCCAGACTCCGACTTGAAGCTGGATTAGTGAAGTTCCCAGAAGAGGTCTATTCAGATGTTTGTCACCCTTTCAGTTGGTCTGGCCCTCACTGTGGCAAGTGAGGGGCTAAACAGAACACATATAAGAACCAAGGGTGCAGGGGTGTCCAACTTAGGGCCCCCAAGCCATGTCCACTTCCATTTTTCCAATTGCCCCCAACTATCAACCTATTGAATCCTATTGAATCCCAACTGACCTCTTTTTTCCAGACCATCCACGGGCGATTTCGTCACAACAAGGGGCTTTCTTGAAAAATAACTGTACACAATAGGTACCGTACAGTGTTGAATCGTTCGCTTTATATACTGATGTGGGATTGTTATGGATTAATTGGGGCTCATGCGTCGCATGAGGTTTCAATAGAAACATGTAGATCGGATCATCTGATTTTGGCCTAACAGTGCCTAGGTTTGCTCCCAAGTCCACTACAGGGAGGTTGCTCGACCTGTGAATTCAGCGGGTGAAGCCACCTGAAGCCTCACTGCATCTCATGATCGGCCTGCTTCCCAAACTGCTGCGCCCCATTTTACATCCAAGAAAACCATCCTCCACAGGTTCTTGACAGAGAAATGCCTGGAAAATGAACCTTCCATCTTCTTCTCTAAGATTTCTTCCGCCAGCTGCTCATCTGCTTGCTCCTGCGGGGCGCAAAGCAAGCACAAACGAAGTCAGTACAGTACAGCAGCAACGAACAAGTACTTCCGTGTCTCTCAACTGGTCATCTAAGAAATGGTGCCCAAATACCAGAAGACCCCAGAACCTTAAAAACATGACAGTTAAACAAGTACTGTTTGAGGTCTATAGGCACTTATTATATAGTGATATATAGTTCCCCAAGATGGGCAGTGCTTCTTTGTGTCCAGTTTGGCCGCCGGCCTTTGACCCTTGACATCTGCACTTCGAGCCGGTTCGGGGAAGAGGATGCTCCCACAATTCTTTGGAACTCATCTTAGTCTGCCGCGGGTCTCTTCTCCAACGTGTTTCCACATGTGAAACCCTGCGGTGGGTCATCATCGAAGCAATGACATCTTTTCCGGATCTGGCCATGGCAATTCGTTTGGGGGAGGTGGGGAGAAACAACCTCCGACCACTAAAACAGGCAAGCCCGGCTTGCCCGGCTTGCCCCCCTACAAGCCCGGTTCCCAAACGGCGGCCTCCTTCACGTGCTGTTCGCACTGTTTGTCCCTCAGATGAGTAGGCATGGCCGGCCACGCTGGGTGCAAGTATATACCCTCCTCAATATTCTTAGGGTTCTAACCATCCTCAGAAGGTATAGTATAGTATTCACTGGCACCCACCCGATCCACGATTGAATTTTGGAGCCACTAGTGGAGTCCTAGGGATTGTTGACGGACAAAACCTTGAATCACCATCACCACCACCATGGCCACCATATTATGTTTGATCAGTTTTGCTGTACTTTAACACGAAAATACTCAAACTGTTTTCGAGCATCATGTTCCTTTAGCACGATAGATATTATAATCCAAATGTAGATCGATGCATGTTCAAGGTCGGTGTTAAGAAGCCTCACATGAACAACAGCCAACCAGTTGGGGCAAATACCCATACATCTAGCGGAAACTCTCCCTCCCCTGAGGGCGCGCAGCGGGCTTTCCTTGTGCCGTGAAAGTCCCTCGGGTGACGACGAATCGGATGCCATGTGCAGCAAATCAAGACTCCTAACAATCTCTAAAATTCATGAAGGTGCGATCGGCCATCCAGCTTATAATCTTCCTTTTAGGGCTCATGAACTTGCTTTGCTCGAACCACAGCCATCTCGTCAGCACTCGTCTTTAGGCTTTGAACTTGCGGGTCACCGCGGATCCTGGGAACATCGGTCCAGCTTCGGATCCTTGCTCATGATACATCGCCAGGTAGCTTGTCAAATCCTGCATCAACGGCGATAGATCGGAGCGGCTTCCTTGGGCAGTGAGCCACTGCACATACTTCACCTTGGTGGTGTCTGGAGACTGAACGAGCTCAGCGTAGCTCAAATCCTGCTTTCCATATTTTCCAGTCTCGATGATCGTCTTGCCCCACTGCTCCAAGCTCTCGATACCCTCGGGTAGGGTCTTTGCCATGGAGCTGCCTTTGGATCGATATGATCCCTTCACACCTGGAGCATGAGTTGGTAGTGGCATTTGGCGAGTGGGAGCTGGCTCTTCATGGTCCACCAAACGCCTTTTGGCGGCATCGGACATTGCACCGCCACTGGAGCCACCTTTCTCATCGATCATCTCAAATTCACAGAACTCACTTTCCAGCTCTGCCAAGAGGGGTCCCACTGATCCCTCCGCACGCACCAGCTGCAACAGCTCGCTGGCTGCCTTAGACAAGCGCTGAGTGGTACCGGCCATGAAATGGTCGGGAGGAAACTGTCGATCGAACAACCTGTCAGTCGTCAGGGCACGGTCGCCTCAGCAAAAAGGCTGCAGATACAACTTTCAATTCAAGAAACGGCTGGCTTCACAAAAACAAAAACATGCATTGCATACATCGAAACACATTGCGGACAATGTATCATTCGTGTATTCCCTACCCCTCACTTGAACATGCCCCTTCAAGTGTTACGCATCCCCGGGACTTTCGGGGTCTTGCAGGCGGGCTTGTTGCATTCGACGTCGGAGGTCTTTCTCCGCTGCTTGCATTTGCAATACGGTCTCTTCGGGGGAGATTTGGTAAGTGGACCTTTTCATGCATGCCCTTAACAAATCAATCGGATCTCCAGTGTTCTTGGTCAATCCATCGGCTAGCATTCTATTTGTTGGGACCCACCTCACATGTGCCTGCATGTGCCGGCAGCTTTCACGGATGATGACAACATCAATGCTTGTTCGTCGGTCTTCAATGGATGTTGGAGATGATGGTGAATGCAAATGGTCGTACAAACTCTTACAATCTGTGACCACGATTGGCGGACGCCTTTTGAGCACATTTCGACAGGATCGGATGTCGAGAGGGCCATCACATATCTCGGCCAAAAGCAACAGTACCCATTCGACGGTACCAGTAGCGACCGACATGGCCTGGCTCTCGGCTGCCAGAGTGCTACTTACCGCTCGTGACAAGCGGAAGCTCTTCCATGCAATGGGAGACCAGGGTGCCTCCTGTCCAGACTGAAGACTCTGGTCAGTGAAGCCGAGCACATAACCGGCCTGGGTATGGTTGCCTCGATTGGCAAATGCTGCATCACTATGGCATACTACAGTTACCTTATCGATTGGTATTGGTGTGAATGTCACACCCAAGCTCTTATGTTGTCGCGCTCGACGAATGGCTTGATTTGCCATTCTGAAGTCTTCGATCTTCGGGCTCGGGAACGCTTGCTGAGAGAGGCTTGTTTGCACACTTAAGTCAGGTCTCGTTTGAGACGACAACCAGTTCAAGCTTCCGTTTACCGCCCTGAGGATCTTGATTTGGCTTGGGGTCAACACATCCTGTGGTGAACTATTCTTTGGGATATTGATTGGGCGAATCTTTTCGGCAAATGAACTCATGTGCATGTGGATGGTGTAATCATCTCTTTGTTCATACCATGCTCCACAAAATTCACCTGTTTTGGTTCGCCACTTCCGATAAGGAAACCTCTTTCTCAGTGCTTTGATGGATCGTTCAAACAACTCACCGGACCCTCCTACTGCAGTGTCATCGACATGAACTCCCATCACTCCGCACAGGGAATCATCTTTGGGGTCACGAAGAGTGAACATGCATGGATCTAAAACACTCTGATGCCAACCCAGTGACCGCACTTGTGTGCTGAACTCTCGGAACCAAGCGGCAGGAGCATCATTTTGACCATACAGGTTACCCAAAATCTCAATCACTGCGTTCTCTGGAATGCCCGGGATTCCGCCAGCAGGTTGGCGGGCATAGAGTGGTCTGAACTCATCACTAAGGGGGCCGGCTTCGAGAAAAGCTCCCTTGATGTCTCCAAGTTGGAGAAGCCAACCTTTTGAGGCAATCACTTGCATCAGGGTCATCCGACCGAGCTGGCTCAATGTTGGAGACTTGAGCATACCACGTTCGGCTTTGGTTTCTAGATCGGGATCTAAATGGCCTTGCAAACACCACCGTCCTTTGACAGTGAATGTGTTGTAATCGTCGGGATCAATAGCCATTCCTTCCTCTATGGGTTTCCGAGTCAGAACATATCGACTTCCAATAAACCTGTCAGCAAATTGTTGTTTGATATACTCAGCTTTCTTACCATAATGCACTCTCACGGAGTTGGGTTTGGCAGCGATCGTTTCCCATTCCGTTCGTTTCCCTTCTTGCACCTTCTGTTGTAAGGCTGGGGGATTATTGCTATGGTGAAGTTCTTTTGACATCTTTTTCTTCATATATTCAGCCATCAAACAGTCCCATGACCCCTGTTCTGCAAGCGCTGTCAGTTCCTGACAGTCCTGAACACACAGCACTTCATCGACTCGTTGACGAGATGCTGCGGGTTCGTCCTGAGATCCAGCATCGGGAGACAACGATCGTTTGCTAGAGGCTGACGAAGAATTCATACAGACATCTTCAAGCAACTGTGGCACCACTTCTTTCATAATCTCAACAAAATCATCCTGTCTCATGGCTGGAGGACGCCACAGTGACATGGGTCCATCTTTACCCGAGACGCGCCGACGAACTGGGCCATAAGTCTGAGATTGACCGCTGTCTTGTGGAGGCATTGGGCTCTTATCAACAGTTGTTTCGACATCTTCATTTACTAGCTCATCAGGCATCATCCTCTCGGCTGGAGGTTCCACAACCCTTGACTCTGTGATCTCTCTTTTCTCACTATCCAGATCTCTCGGACATGGCTCAGTGCGAAGGTCTGCTTGCTCAGGCTGAGACTGTTCACTAGGCGGTGCCGGGTTCACGGCGTCCGACTCTGGAGGTGGCACATCACCCTCTTGTGGAGGGTACGCTTGAGGGAGCAGATCCAGATATTGTCGACTCCGAAGGTTACCACTTTCAATGAGATCTTTAATGCCTAACAATTCAGCTTCGGGAGTAGCTACAAGGCACTTTTCTTCATTGGTTGCTGGTCGAACCTGTTCAGGAGCACAACGGATCACCTGCCTACGGTGGATCAACACGAGATTCCTACCTACTGTGCCGAGTACCACTGCTACCACTGCTACACCATACCACTGTCCTCCAGTCTGGAGTTGGCCTTGAACCCATTTCTGATTCCGCCAGTAAGCAACGAGGTCACCGGCCTTGAAAGACATGGGTCGGCGAGGTCTGGCCAGCAGAGCGACCCGTAACGCACGGTCATCTTGCATTTCGATCAACGTTCGACGTGCCGTTGTTCTCATGGCTTGTGTCTTGGCAATTGCCTCTTCTGTGATCGATGCCGTAGCGGGAACGATGGACAAGGGTTCATTCAGCAAGTCTTGAGGAATGTGTGGATTGCGGCCAAACACAAATTGACACGGTGACAGCCCATGAACTTGTAGCATCTGGTTCTTGATATGAGCATGTGTCACACATTCTAGCCAACCCTTTTGATCCTGAGGAATATAGTCATCTATCAATTTTTCCAACACACGGTTGAACCATCCACCATGGGATTCACATTTACCTAGCTGCCAATGAGCACCAGCGGCGATCGGACGAACGTGCGTTCCCTCCAATTCGGCGGGAACGGTCATCGGGGCTCCCAAGTTCGTGCGAGCTGGATCAAGGATGATCTCTCTCGGGACTCCTGCCCAGGAAATCCAATGTTCATTCAACAGTTCACGAAGAAGATGAGCGGTTTCGACTTGAAAGAATGGGATCATTCGTTGAAAACCACTGGCAGTGTCCACGACGTTCAGAGCTTTGACCTTCTGATTGGGTTTCCAACCTCTCAAGTGCTTGACATCAATCGCGATCTGTTGATTGAACTCGGCCACACGATTCGGCTGAGCGGGCAAAGGAATCTTCGGACGTGCCTGACTCTTGCAGAAATCACAGGAAAACTCCTTAGCTAGACGAAGTGCTTGATCCGATGCCTGACCATGCTTCAGGATCCGGACCAGATCGCAATTCGGGGGGTGTCCCAAGTTTCGATGTAACTTGGCCAGTACCGGAAGCAGTTCGGCATCAGTCTTCGCTGATTCATGACCAGCAGCGTACACTTCATCCCACAAGGAGGCAGGCACTCCATCCTCGATGACTTCGAGCAGCACGCACTCTTCTTGGGCCTCTGGTGTCACTATCAGGACTTCTGACTGGGCTTGGAACTTTGGAACCGTATTTAACACAGCATGAACAAATTGACGTGGGTATTGTCCAGCATACTTACTTATGCTCGTGCCGTCTGGTGCATGTCCGGCAACAACATCATGACACTGGTGTTTCCCTTCATGAGTGCACATCAAGCCAAGACTGCTCATGTCCTCGTGAGACACCAAAAGACGAGTGCTCTTGCGAATGAATTTCTCACTTGATGGGAGCTTGAGTCCGAACCTGCACATGTGGAGTTTGACTGTGGTATATTTTCGACACAGTGATTGCATCTCTGCATACGACCAAAGGCGGGAGCCAGTTGGATGCTCAAACACTGCACGGCCACCTAACTCCATTTGCATACGAAACAGCTTACAACACCACGTGATATACCGACGGCTCTGTGCCTTCCTACGCAACACTTCCCATGGATCCCATTTATGGCTATTTAGGTGGAACCAGCCGCCTTCATCGGTGCAAGGCGGGCAGAGGACCAGGAGCTCGGGCTTCTCGGTCACCAGCTCGTTTTCCACCAATTTCCTGTCGGAGGCACGGCGAAAATCGAAGCCGTTAACCAAATCATAAGATTTGGCTCTGTATCCGGCTCTCTCGGCTTCTACTGCAAATCTAGGAGGAGAAAACACTTCCATGACTAGACACGACGAAGATGCTCTGCGTTCCTGGATGGCTAAGCACGTTTGAGCTTGCTTGTGCAACTGTCGGCATTGATGATGACTGGGACACCATGTATTCGGGCTCTCAAGAGGTGAACCCACATAGAAAAACTCGGTTTTCACATGTGCAGCTCTTCTCAACAAAGTCACAATGGTCTTTTTCTGGGGAGTCCCTGGATCAAATGAGGAATCATCTAACACCCGGTGAGTTTGCATGTCGGTCACACGACGACGAAACACATGTTTCCAGGACGGTCCCTCCCGAGACAACCACGGGGTGGAAATCACATCACAGTTCTCCTGAGTCCACACGGCAGTCTCCGGAGGCTGCTCTGCTGGTGCATCGGCGGATGCATGCGAATCGGTTTGAGCCATGGTCTCGCAGGAATCACTGCTCCTGTCGAGCTCTTCTTCGACTTTGGGTGGATGCATTTCAGTGGAGGCCATCACTTCGGTGAAAGCGGCTGCGGATGAATCTTTCTCATCACCAAGGAGCTGCACCACGTACTGCCCTGCACTGTTAGTTTGCAGCTTCACAGAACGATCAAACACCTGGAGACAATCATTCTTGAAATCCAGAGTGGCTCCCAGAGCCTTCATTGCGGATCGGCTCAACAGGAGAGGCGCATCGCCCCGGATGATGGCAGCACGAATCACACCTTGTCGTTGTGCAAGCACCACAGGCAACTGTATGGAAAGGGTGGAAGTCTCCACCTCTCCATTCCCGAATTTGAACTGGTGCACTTCATGGAACGGCTGTGGAGGGACCCATCCCCTCTGAATCCAAAGGCGCTTGAAAGCCTTCAAGGTCTCCGCACCGATGATGGTGCGCCCACATCCTGAATCCAGCACGCCGAAACCCGGCGAGGACACCAACAACAATTCCTCGGTCTGTTCGAGGGGTGGAGTCAATGTTGCTTGCAAACGGCGAGCTCTCAACTTGTCCAACACGGAAGGGGTGTCGAGGATGGAGGCAACAAAATCCAACTCATGTACTGCTGCCGCACCAGACGGGGCTGAAGTCGAACTGGTTCCTCGACCTTTGGAAGCACCCTTATTGTCTTTGGAGCGACATTCACGAGCCCAGTGGCCTCTTCGGCCGCACTTGTTGCAGGTTGAGTTGCGCTTCATCTCCTCGATCTCCACTCTAAATGAGCGTCGCACGTCCTTGGCTTTCTGAAATTGTCGAGTCTTTTGCAATCGATTCAGTTCCTGACGCTTCTCCTTCCATGTTGCCGCCAGCACCTCAGCGACTTCCGACTCTGGAAAGGGGTCTTCCTCTCCAGCATAGGCATAGTCTGTAGTAGGCTGGTGCTCTTCAATGAGTTGTTCAACGTCAGAAAAACTGTCATCGACACGCTCGCCAAACTCTTCCTGGGTCTCTTCAAAGGGCTCTGCAAGGGCTACCCCAACACGCTTGCGGGTCACGACCATCTCGGGGTAACACGACCGGAGTGCCGCAGAGATTGACTCTCGCTTCAAATCGCCACGAGCTCGGGCGATCACAACAGCCTTCATCTCATCGGTGAGGCCAGATCTATGGAGCAGCAACCAACCCCGAGCCTCTTCGGGGAATGATACACCAGTCTTTCGTTGGCAACGGTCGAAAATCTCTGAGGCACGTGCCGACCATTGTTTCATGTTCTCGCCCTCATTGGACCTCAGGCTGAACACCTCTGTGAGGATCTCGCCAAGCTCATCGACAGTTTCTTGCTGAGGAAAGCGCCTGTCCAAGATGCCCCAAAGAACATCGTCCCCACCCTTCTTCTGGTAGGTCTCGGGGTCGACATGCTCGACTGCTTCCAGCGCTTTGCCACTCAACAACGTGTAGATGTAAGCTCCTCGAAAGCCTTCAGCCAACTTATCCAATGTCAATAACTTGTTCTTGACCCATTGCTTCCACCTTTTGTATTCGCGACCGTCCTCGGTCTCACCAGAGAAAAATCGAAGCCCACCTTCGGTGGTGGACGACGAAGATGCCATGTGCAAGGACCTTCACCTAAAGGTCTCACCAAACCATGCTCGGAGCCTGACACTTTGGCCAGGCTCCGCTACCAATAGCGGAAACTCTCCCTCCCCTGAGGGCGCGCAGCGGGCTTTTCCTTGTGCCGTGAAAGTCCCTCGGGTGACGACGAATCGGATGCCATGTGCAGCAAATCAAGACATCCATACTATGATTCCGAGGGTTGCTGTTGCTATAAAACCATTATCTAAACAAAACATGTTCCCTCGCATAGTCCCCGATCCTTCCAGCTTGTACATCACAATCCTGGATCCTGAATACCACCATGTTCTTTCTTATTTGACGTGTCTTTTATATGCAATTAAATCTAGTCTAGACTAGACTCCTCGGGCATTATGGTGTTTTGTCCTTTTGGTGCCTCGGATGTGATACAACAACCCCACTTTTTTGTGCATGAAGCATGTTTCGTGAAAGCAAGCTTCAGTTCTGTTGTCTCTTTATCCACAAGCGTCTTTGTATCACTCCCAGCACCATGTGTCAACCTCCAGTTCTTGGGCGATGGATGACGGGTCCCAAAGTACATGACATGGTCCCTTGAGGAATTGACCATTTACTTAAGGCAGGTTTGTTTGTTTTTGTTTGTTTTGTCCGCTATTGGCAGTTTCTATGCGTATCTATGCCTCTTCCCGTAGACTTAGGCGTTCTGATCCATTACTAAGGAGTTTTTGCCCGTTACTCGTTCTTACCCATTTCCCCCACTCACTACAATCAGTGGCTTGGCTCAACGAAATCGTAGCCTTTCTTGGGTGAGAGACAACTCCAAGGCCAAATACTTTAGACGGACCAGCATCTCAGCCAAGAAGAACCGGAGACAAAGGGAAGCCAGGCAGAATCCTCTTGGCCCAGGATCGTTTCTATGCAAGAATTGGTGGAACACCAAAAAACTAACTTAAAACAAGAACAAAATACCTCTGAACATATTCAGAACCATATTCAGAACCCTAAACAAAAGCCGCCCCCCCCCCCCCCGCACGGCCCTGTGACCTCTCCGAGCGGCGACAGGACCGCGGACCCCGCGGCGTCCGAATCCGCGGCGGTCTCGGAGCCTGGGGTGCCACGATGCTTCGGTGTGGCTAGTGGAGGCTTCCAAGAACTCAAGGGTCTCAGGAAGGCGCAACTGGAAGGCACATCGTTTTGGATGTTGTTTTGCATGGAAACGGTGAAAGTTCACATCCTCACCCGTGGCGGGCGCCAGTTTTTTGCCTGGGCCGTTGATATGTCTGAGATATCCAGCACAACACAACCCTTTCACGGTTTCCGACCCTGTTGGTGGTTTAAAAATGTATCAACCCACTTGAAAAGCCAAAAGCCATTCAAATCAAGCATCCACGGTAGAGTCTAGCAGTCTAGCAGGTAGTTAAACACCATTTATGGAGGTTTTTCCAAGATTTTGGATCTCATGTCGTACGTCCAACGAGACTTTCCACAGTCCATCGGAGTCCATATCAGCTCTTCTTGGGCATGCAGAAGGAATGGGACAGGGGTTTCCCCCACCCCAACAAAACCGGCTTCCCCTCCGTTTCCAGCTGCATTGCTTTTCCACTGAGTGGACTGCTGCCACTCACTGCTGGTGTTTTTCCTGGTCTGTCGCCTTCTTTTGCGCGATGAAATGTTGGCGATCAGGAGAAATTCCAAACGAACCATTCTACACTTCCCCTGGTAGGGGACGGATACTCCACCTCTGCCAAACTAGAATGCATCCTGTGTGATGTCTTTCGATTCTTTTGTTCATATAGATATTGAGTGTGTGCCTCTCAGGGGTCCCCCCAAACCCCCAAGAGCTGGTGAAGCTTCCGAGGCACGACCATCCAAATCGGTCTCACCTTTACCTCCAGATGTCGAGTTTGTGAGAGGTGAGGGCTAAACATTGGCAAAAACATCTGGGCAAAAGCTGGCACCGAGCCCCATGCACGAGAAGATGTAGCTGAAGTCCAGAAGTTGAGCTGCTAGGTATGCTGCGGGTGGTCAAATCCCACCCACTGGAAGAGGTCATATGGGTCATATTGGGATCAATCATCCTCACCCTAGGGCTCCAAGTACCTTCTGAGAAGGTGTTTAGGGTGGGTGCCAGGAGGGTCCGGATACCTTCTGAGGAGGTACTTGGAGCCCTAGGGTCAGTAGAGGTTGAACATATTTCTCAATCCACCACCCGGTTCGGCATCTGCGTGTTTGAAGCGCACAACATATGTGCCATCACTGATGGAACCCGTGTTTGGGGCCACTGTTCGGGCAGGCAAACTGCAGCAACTACCGGCAACAACCTTCAAACAACATCCGCAAATCCAGGCGATGAAGCTGTGGGACAGGACAGATTGGCGACCCCCTCTCATGAAGCTTTGTGGAGCCAGAAGAGCTCACAATACTCAAGCAGCCATTTTTTGAGTCTCTAATTGATCTTTTGCTTGGCGAAGTGACCGAAAATTCTGGGATCTCAAGTTCGATCACAAACATCCTTGCTCACCGGTTCAACTTGTGTTCGACGGGGGCGCTCCGAAATGATCTTCGTCTGACAGTATACTACTTCACCCGAAGAAAAATCAAAAACTTGGCCGCAAGAACATTGCCCGGAAGTCCTAACCATGCACGGTATCGAAATGGTTTGAAGAGTCTGGGGGTGTTAATCTCTTCACAAGACTCTCCCGCTTTCAATTGCTTTCCACTTCTTATGCATGCATAGTGAAAAGCGACTATCTCCTCCCTGCTGTTCTTTTTCTGTGGGGCCAAACATGAACCCATAATGTAACTCTACACTGACCCACCGCCATAGTCATAGTTCAAACCTGTGCTCGAAAAAGGACAGCCACGACGCCTTGCAAGCACGCAGAGGCGCGAAGAAAAATCTCTTGACCTGGCGCGGTTGGAGCTGACCACCACCACCACTGGTGGACGGGCAGTTTAAGAACTCCCGACTGTGTGGTTTGAAAGTAGATTGCACAAACCCAAGACGACTTTTAGATGGGGGTCCATATAAACCACTTTTGGGGGATTGTGCCATCTACTCTCAATCCACTATAAGCAAGAGTTGGAGTATATCTTACCTGACATACAGCTCCAAAAGAGGAGGGCGAAGGGATTGGTTGTGAGTCACACCGACCGGAGCCACGGAACATGCTTGGTCCGATCCGCTAAACGTTGGACCCACTGTCCATCCACATGCCGTCCCTAACATCCAATGAAGGATCTCCGCGAACACCACCGCCCGGTTCCTCGGGCCGTTTTCGTTTCGGCGCGTGGGGCGAGGCGGCGAAGAAACGCGCCGAAGAAGGCGCGCGCCTCGTTGGTGGAGGGAACTGAGTCCTTCGGACATAAAGCTCCGCAGCTGTGCATTGCAGGACGCAATGGGGTGAAGCGCGAGCCGTCGCCTGCGAGAAGAGTCTGATTGGCGCCCTGTGGGTCTTTGGAAGACATGAGATATGGGATGGTGTTCTTTCTCACAAAGCCCTTCAGCAGCCACACTTTTGGACCTGGGAGATGACCCTTGCCACTTGGAAACCGCAGCGATGTCCTCCGCTCCGGATTTCCGTCGTTAGTAAGGCAGCTCGCTCACCCGGATCTCCGAGGTTGCACCGCTTCTTGCGCGCCTGAAAGTCTCGTTTCTCAGCTCTTCATCCGACTGGTTGCACTCAGCTTGGTGAAGGTTCAAGTTGTTGATGGCACCACTGACCTCCAGCGCGTTCTGGGCCCGTCGCGGGCCCCGTCCGCGTGGCGCCGCAACTTGGGGAACTTGGGCGTGACAAAGCTGGAGCTGTTTGGGAACTCGGGAAAAGGCGGGACCGGATCCATGATGTAACTTGGTGGTTCGCACAAATCTGACGACTTGAGAAGTCTTCCCATGCGGTATCATGGTCTAAGAACCAAGATTCTCCATGCTCCTTCTGCCAGCGACCCGGGTCGATCATGGATGCCCTAGAGCGACTTCTCAGTCATTATACCTCCTCAGAAGGTACTGAGACCCTCCAGGACCACCTCAAACACCTTGTCATGTTCTTAAAAGGGCCCTGGAAGTACGTGGATCAGCGGAAAAAGGTCACCTTTAAATCTGAACCTTTGGGCCCCCCCAGAAATTTTGTTCAATGAACAGGTCGACCATTGATTAGGACTATTTGTTCATATCCTTTTTTCGGAAACGGCTCGGCTCACAAGTCGCCCATCATCTCGTCAGCCTTACCCCTCATTCATGGTGAAGTCTGTGTGGGCTTCCGGCCCCCGGACGTTAGAAGATTACCAATCCCTTAGGGATCGGAGACCCACTTCCTAATTGGAAAGGGGCCATGCTCGTGTGCAAGAACATGGAGTCCTTCTTGGTGGTTTCACCGAAGGAAAGAATGCAGAACAGTGGTCAGTGGTTTCGATCAAGACACAAGTAAAGGTTGAACATAGAAACTATCCGAAACTCTGGAGTGGTTTAAGGGACAAAATTCACAGGACACCCGTCGTTTTGGGGGATGAAAACCATGATGTCATGGTTTCCCGTAGATGTTCCCGTAGAAGAATGCTTCGTGCTTCGACCTGTCCTTGGCTCAAGCCTCAACTAAAAAGATTGGGGGGGTACTGTGCTTATATGGCAATTCTTTTGATGTTCACGGTAATTCTGGGGGGCTCATGGCTGGGTGGGGGGGATAAGCAAAACTGAGGGCTATCCATGGAGTGCCTCCAGGCAAAAGACCCTCATAGGGGCGCTTATCAACTCCAAATCACCTGGGTAACATGACCTCCGCCTAAGCATGGCCTTGGACCGAAAAGAGGCTGCTTGGAACCAGTCATGTAAGCCCGTAAGCCCTCCCAGAATTCGACAGAATGGGTATAGTGACATCTTTGGACATTCTTAAACACTTGGAGTAGAAAACTGCAGGAATATCTTGTGGTTAATACTGCTCTTTAACTTTACAGCTTCGTCAACCGCTTCTTGTGCTCCAGCTTCCAAATACACCACCAAGGGCAAACCTGTCTGTGGTCCTTAAAAGGTCTGACAGATGGAGAAGTCTCCATCCGCAAAGACTGGTGGTGAATTTTTGCCGTCTTCATGTCTAGAAATCCTCATGTCCGTCCTTTCAACCTCCACTGTCTCCACTTGATCCCCACTTTTTCGCTGATCCGTCCTTCAAAATGTAGGAGACGGGCATGCCACCGGTGCCCACGTTCAACACGCCTGCCCATGTCACCGGTGTCCAGTGTGCAGGAATGTGTTCTCTCCAGTTCAGGGGCGCAGATTCCTTTCCCCTAGGGCTCCAAGTACCTGCTGAGAAGGTGTTTGGGGTGGGTTTAGAGTCTAGAGGGTCCAGATACCTTCTGAGGAGGTACTTGGAGCCCTAGGGTTCATGATTTCATGCCAAATGCAATGTTCAAGAACCCGTGCGTTTCGGCCGTGGAGTTCTTGCTTGACGCAAATGACGATCCATCAGCAACGAGGGGGTGAACTACTGGCCCGTTCCATTCGACAAATAGCAACAACGCGTTCCTCTTCTCCGCTAGCCAAAATAGTGTTTAGCAGGGAAAACACTCTTCAAAAAGAAGCTTTTGGTCCTTCAACATCATCCAACGAGCCAAAGACAGCGAAGTTGGATGAGTTCGTCTACCGTCACACTGCGCCCACGAAAAGGCTCCCCGAGTGGCCATCAATGCCGACGATGCTTCCCACGTTCAAAGAGTGATGGAAGTACCTCTGGGATGTTCCCAGTTCTCCTGCCAGTTCCACCAGAACTGGACGTCGCACCAGACCCGTAGCACCTTGAGGCGAGCAGAGCTTCAAGGCCATCTTGCCTGGGGGAAGGCCGGACAACGGGACTGCGGCGAGGCGACAGGCTGGCACGACAGGCACTGCGTGGGCGGGTGCCTGTGCTGAAATCAAGGTGAGGTGCCGAGGATGCATCCTCATGCGGCCATGCGGCCATGAAGAACAAAACAACATGGACAGTTCCAAGATGTGGTGGTGATCTTTTTTGACACTGGGCTAGCTATGATTCTGTTGGCGTTTATGTTTGCGTGGCACAAATATGCCTCCTGTCCCACAAATGGAGTTGTCTTTTGTATGTTGCCGGGTGATCAGTTTGCTTAATTGCAGCGCTCTTTACAGAATACTCCGGATAAGATTCAATGCAACATGTAATGCTACATTTGGAATTCAGGCATTGAAGCAGTCCCTGCTAGTATACTTAATACTTCATTGAATCGATCATGAACGGCAACAACCTGCATTCGCACATATAAATACAGACAGTGCCAAATGACAACAAAGGACGCTCAAAACAAACTCTCTGTAAACACCAAGCTGCTCCAAAAAAAGACAACAGCTCAGCTCTAGAGAAAAAAAAAAAACGACACAAGAATGCGCAATCTTGTTTTCACCCACCCATCGCGCCGTTTGCAAAAAGGGTTTCTGACGTTGAGGGTGGTGTCTCTATCGCCAAAAGGACGGTGTGTTTGGGGCGTTCCGGCGCGTTCCCACGTTCCCCGGTGGAAAGGGTGTCCGGTCGGAAGCGCGACCAGCGTGACATGAGAGACGTTCGGGCGGGATGGAAGGGGCTCTTTGAACGGAGCCAAGAGTCTGAATCGATGGGGGAAGATTCGGTTGAGCAAACTTTCAAGCAAGTATAGATCGATGACTCGGTGCTGAAAAGAAGGCGAACGTTGCTGTTTCCAGTCGTCAGTTACAGTCCCAAAGCTCCCAATGGTTCGTTCTCCTTCGTGGTCGACCAGTCGACCCGCACCTGGCCGCTCGGGTCGCCCGTCACTGGCCAAAAGCACTTCGTACAAACACCACCTCGGCCGTCCCCGGTCGGGTCGCGAGTGGGGCCGGCGCAGACCGCAGGGTGTGGGTCCTTCCTCCGATCCTCGCGGTGCAAAGGAAAAGACGCCCAATGACTCCATGGATGTCTCGACCATCAAACACCTCAATCCGAAACCGGGCTGGTGTCACAAAGGGCACTTCAGAGATCTTCAAAGTGTAATACAAACACCAACGTGGCACCAAAAAGTTGAGCCTTTGCGTTGTGTTGTTGGTTGTCGTTTGAGGTGGCTCACACAACGGGAAGGGTGTTTCTAGGCGTTTGTGTTGTGTTTCAAGTTGGTGGCGTCATGCATTTCAATGTTGCTTTGTGTTTTTAGGTGCTTTGGGCGTATCCAGCTCATTCCGGTAAGGTTTCCACATAATGAAAGCAGTCCTTGATCCATGTTGATCGCTTTAGCCAAACACTCGACAGAGCACCGCGAATGACACGTCAGGACTTCAAGGACTTAGCCATGGCTTCTTCACGACAGACGCGGGTGACGCCGATGTCGAACGCGCCGCGATGTCGAAAGCGCCCAGGGCCGCGGCAGCCGCTTCAAGGTCTCTGCCTGAGGTCCCAGGATCACAGCCAAACCTCGGTCCGGTGTAGTCGAACGGTGACGACGACGTCGTTCCCAACGGAAAAAAATAACCGGTGAACGGTGACCCGATCAAAGCAGGTATAATGATATGCTAGCAGGTACATGTAACCATGCCATTTTTGGAATAGGAATTACGAGAAGGGTAAGAAGAAGCCGTGCCCATGCCGTTCTGTGTTCCCAGGTCCCGACCTAGGGTGATCGGTCTACAGCCTGACATCGTCACGGGGGTCCCCAGAGGGTCAGGATGCGGAGGTCTCCCTCTTCGAGCTACACCTATGGGAGCTCAATGGACTGGGACCAGCTGGAGCGCTGATGGGTTTTTCATCGTTTTTCATGTTCACGAAGTGGTCAGCAGCACAGTGGGCAGGAAAACAGCTCAATGCTATAGCCAGGGTCACTCAAAACCAGGGTCACTCAATCTTGGATCCTATCAGCTACCAGCTATCACCAGGCGACTCAGCAGGCTACTTACCATGCCATCACGCGGTTCGTTCGCGGTTTTTGTCGGACAGGAAGCTTTGGCAGTTGCGGCTCCGCAGCACATCACTCACCAAACCATGATGCTCCTCGAGGCACCTGGGCGGGGTGCTTGCCAAGTCGGGTTCACTAACTCGAGGTGTTTGGAGAGCTTTTCGAACGGCCTACGGCTTTTGGGCGGGCTTTTTGGGACCAAAGCCCAAGTTCAGAAAACATGACTCATGGGACTGCCGTATGCCGATCAGTTGACCCCCCAAACCACCCCAACTGATCGGTAAATATGGTAGTCCCATTAGTCGTGGGATTTTACCTCATTTTACCACCCATGGCTACGATTCAAGGAGTGTCACCTTGCAACAGATCTGAAAGCTCCCCCCACCGAAACCAGAACCCTGACGGTCACGACCGGGTGCAGCTGAAACCGCATCTCACGCGAAGCTCGGCGCAGCCAGAAGCTGCGGTGTCTCTGCGTGAAGCTACACTCCCTAGCGCCCTATAGGGGATCCAGTCCCTAACACTTGGACCCTAACAAAAGGGTCGGACATTTTTCATACCCTCTTAGTTCACAAGGCTTTGCACCGGGTGTGACGTTTGGACCCGTCACTGGCCCTGCCACCTGCTAGTCGTCACTGCCGGCCCTAGCGTACTCGTCGTACGAGTCGTACCGGACCAACGCCCTGGAGAAGGAACGAACCGACGGATCGGTCGACCGGGACAACGGGACAACGGGTAGATGAGATCGGAGGCGTTCCATGCCGACATGGCACATGGGGAAAAAGATCGTCAATCGCGGACAGAATAAGCCAATCAATTGGCCTGAACGATAATTGTTACACTCAGAGTAAAAGTAAAAGACAATCAGAAATCTGAGAGCCTGTTTGCTCCAGCCTCTTAGTGCAACAGTTTGCCATCTCCAAAATCCCTACGTCGCTTCGTTCCGCCCCCCCGGCGGTCCCCTTGGTCTCCCCAACCAGTGGTTCAGGCTGAAGGCAGCAATCCTCAGGGCCAACAAATACAACGGACGTCAAGTTCTTCAAACGGAACCTAGATTTCACTGCAGCCGGCCTAAAACCAAAAAGACATATTATCCATGTCAGGGGATTTAACCAGGAACCGGGAAAATACAAAATCAACTATCGAATCCGTCTGGCCAACAACTGCGCATGTGGAGTGAATCTCTCCACGACGTCGCTTCATGTTACGATGGGCGCGACACGAATGCCACCTTCCTCGAGTGTTTTTCAAATTCAGGGACCCATCATCCATGGAAGGTGACAGAAACATTGACAAAAAGCTGGTGCCCAGCCGCGACCCTGGATGGACCTGACGTCCAAAGATCCATCTTTCACAAAACATGTTGTAATATATATATAAAGGCTCATTCCCCCTCCGTTGTCTCCCTTTTCTTCGCAAGACCTGATTTGTCAAATAAAGAAACCATTAAAAGGTGTAAATTCCCTCAAAGACCTCTCTCGGGTCTTATAATCCTCCCTAAGAATGCCTCCGCCACACCGGAGGAACATTCCTAGCTCGAAGGATAGGTTTTCCACCATGTTTACTCCCCTCCGCCACACCGAAGGAAAGTAAACCTCATGGTGGGGTTAAAAGACGATTCGCTCTCTGCGCGAAAACTGCTCTTTTCACTCTGGTTTTCTTGTCCTTGGCTTTCTTCTTAGCCTTTCTTCAAGGGAGGGGTGGGAGGGAAAATGAGCCGGAGCTGCGGGAAGACACCGAATTAGGGGGATTCTCCTTTACTTACGGGGACGAAACAGCAAAGGCTCATTCCCCCTCCGTTGTCTCCCTTTTCTTCGCAAGACCTGATTTGTCAAATAAAGAAACCATTAAAAGGTGTAAATTCCCTCAAAGACCTCTCTCGGGTCTTATAATCCTCCCTAAGAATGCCTCCGCCACACCGGAGGAACATTCCTAGCTCGAAGGATAGGTTTTCCACCATGTTTACTCCCCTCCGCCACACCGAAGGAAAGTAAACCTCATGGTGGGGTTAAAAGACGATTCGCTCTCTGCGCGAAAACTGCTCTTTTCACTCTGGTTTTCTTGTCCTTGGCTTTCTTCTTAGCCTTTCTTCCACCGCCCCCTGCCCTGCCCTTTTTAAGGGCAGGCTCAAGCGACGGAATGACATGTTGTTTTGAATTCAAAAATTGGAGAAGGTAGTGCTTATTCTGACTGGAACGAGGTAAACGCATCTGTGCTAGTGCCGCTAAACCACTGTCAACATAGGTCCGGGCCGTTTTCACGGCTTGCCAGCGACCGTAGACTAGGAGCCGGTCTAGAGAACCCCAACGTTGAAACCACCATGTGGCCCCTCCCCTCCTCAAGGAGTATGGCCTAAAAGCTAACTCAGCGAAACCTAGGGCCTCTGTGGTAGAGTTAAACAATTTGCGCCACTGACTGGGCGAGGGACATAACTCTTTCCGGGCGGAAGAGTCCCGGGTCCAAGCATAAAGCCACCTAAGGGGTTCTTCGACTGTCAGGGAGACGCTTTCAGCAGCTCCGTGCCGCTTTCCTCCTTTTGTTAACCCCAAACTAATGACTGCTGGCCCTCTAGCCGTGTGCATACTCACGTCTGAAGATTTTAAATTCAAGATCTCTCCCGTACGCAGAGTCCCGTAGAACCCCACGAGGAGGGATGTAGCGAACAAAAATTCTTTCTGTGACAGTGCATGGCCGACCATCATGTGAAGTGCCTCCTCAGGCAGTGGTGGGGCCCTGTTGGGGAGCTCATTCATGCTCCAGGCCTTTAAAAGTCTCCAAGTGCCTCTCAGGTGTCCTTTTACATGGGGCTGGGCGTCTTGAAGGGCCGTGACGGTATCGCTTGCCTGTGCTCGTCCAAATCCCTCGCTCCACAAGTGCTCAATGTAGTGCTGTAACAGGACATCCAGTCCAGAGTGTGAAGTGGGAACTTCTCGCTGCTCTTCACGCAAGAAAGCCCAGAAACCTTCCAAAGCTTTGTTGTATCGTTCACGTGTACGTGGCTGCACCGTAAGGGATTGCAAACTACCTAAGGCTGCTCTTTGACGCTTACGCTCTTCTTTTGTGCCTCCTTCAATCATGACTTTGCCTACTTTCCCCATTTTCTCTTGACTGGACGCCGGCTGGGAGCATCAGCCGGGTTTTGGGAAGTATGCACATATGCCCAATGGGCTTGACTGCCGGAGGCGAGGAGAAGAGCGTTAATCTTCATGAGCGTCCTTCGTAATTTGCGGCTGCTGGACCGTCCCCTTGCGAGTGAATGCAAGCACACAAGTGAATCAACGAGATGTACAAATCGGTTTTGCAGCCACCCTTTCTTCCCTATGCGCCAGCGTAGAGTGGTGTAAACTGCTCGCAGCTCCAAACTGTTGATGTGCTCACGCTGACCACTCCAGCTCCATCCGCAGATGGTTCGCCATTTCCAGAGGTTTGCGGGGATGCTAGCTCGAAGGCGGTGATAACGCACAGGATCTTCAGTTTGTGCCTGCAGGAGAACGTCCTCTCCCTTGAGGCTTGCCATTCCAGCCAACTTGCGAACCAGGTCTGTTTCTCCACCTTGTTCAGGAACCCGCCGTGGGACACGCATGAAGGGTCGTAGCAAGAAACTTTGAAGACCTTGGCCACCTCCGGGTGAACACTGTTGCATCACCTGCTGCAACTTGAGGTGAGGCACCAATCCCAGAATGTGACAGAGTTGACTCAACATCCACGCCACGACGAAGACGTTCCAACTGTTTCCAATCAACGTGAGACGTTCATCCTGCCATGCCTGAGTCTTCTGCTGACCTTTAGGGTAGCAAGCGGTTGAATACCCTTTGGGAAACCCCATAACGACCTCCCTTTCCTCACACGACAGGAGGCGAGTGTTCTGGTGCTTGTCCTGGACCCGGAACTTGAACTGGTACTGGTACGGCGGAAACCTGTGAAGGTCATCGGCCCAATCCGCCAGCTCTTGGCTTGTGCACTGTGACATCCCGGCTGGCTTGCGCCCAGGCTGTGTCCTCGGTCGTGACGTGGTGAGTGTCGGAAAGGGCTCGTCAGAACACTTCGACCATCCTACTTCAAGGAACTTGTTGATGTCATACTCCCCCTTCAACTTCACTTCTGTGACCTTCTCCCATCCGGTCCCCTTGACCGAGGAGATTTGCACGCCGGCGTCCTCACGAAGTTCCCAGCTAGGCCAAAAGAGCCGCGGTCGCCTGCATCCACAAATATCAACCGGGTCGATGAGGTACGGACACGAGTCAACCGACTGGCTCATCAAAGCGCGGTCTGAGGCATCCATAGATGCCACGCTTTCCATAAGTCTGTGGACTTGCGCCCATGGAAAAAACTGCTGGACCAAAACGTGCACCCTTTCAACGTGTGTAAAGAGACAGCTTCGGTGATCTCGGAGCGCGCCCCTTCTATCAGAGTTGAGCCCCGATACACCTTGACACGGTGGTCCGGCGCCAATGATGACCAGGCCTACTTGAGAGAACTTGCAGGCCCAGCTACGTACCATCTCTGCATCCACCTTCTCGATGTCGTCCACAAACACCGTTGATGCAAACCGACTCTCAACCACTCTTCGTGCCGGGCCATGCTTCTCAACACTGATGTGACCTGCAACCGGAACCCCTACTGCGTCCGCTGCCACCCTAAGGGCCCCCATGCCGTCAAACAACCCAATTGTCAGGACACTGGTGACCTCCGATGGTTCCACGACATCACCCCTGAGTGTTTGGTTTGCCGCCATGCATCCCAAGGAGGTGAGACCGCTGCTGGCCGTGATCCCGCCTCCCGTTGATGATGCGTCACTTGCTGTAACCACTCCGGAGAAAACCGTGCGGAAGTCCATCCTTGCCAGAGGTGTGAGCAGGCAGAAACGAGCTATCTCGCTGCGCACTTTCCATGGTATTGCCTGAACTCTTGGTCCCTGTTCGAAACTGGTCACAAACTCCCATATGGCATTGAGAGTGCCAAGGAGTGGCCGTCGGAACATAGCCATGTAGACAAGGCCCCCTGCTACGATTTGAATCTGCTTCTGAGTGCAGCGGTCGCCCGCCAGAGGGCCTCCCACTGGTCCTCTGCCACCATGACCTTTGGAGGCTTGGTGTACACCTGTGCTTCTTTCGGGAGGAGGTATTCCTCGAAATGCCGCGCATAATGTAGACAACCAGAATCAACAACTTCTTCAAGTTCAACGGTTCCTACTTCTAGAGGGAGTGCAGGTGCGAGGTTTGCCCATGACGTCTGTTGAGCGGTCTTCACTTCCTCTCCTTTGTAGTCAATGCTTCGCACCTTGAGGAACTCTTTCCATGAAAGCTCACCAAAGGGTGGTAACTTCTCCAAAAACCTAGCCACCTCCTCTGCTCTCCCAAAAGAATGAAAACCTTGACATGCAAATGTGAAACTCTTTGTTCTCGAAGGGGTCTACAGTCATAGACGTCATTCAACCCAAGGGCCACTGCTCGAAGTACAGTCCTAACACCCTGAGGTAAATGGGATAAAAAAGGCTGGTCGATGACGGAGTCGACTGGGAGAGGGAAAATCTCCCCCGGGGTCGAGGTCTTGCGAATGAAGGTCGACAACTCTCCCACCAGCCCCCCAACGACATCTGCAAACTGCAAACCCTTCGACTCCTTTTTTGCGGGCTCAACGAGCTCGGTGTGTGAGGTTTTGCAATCCGGGCCGGCACGCCCTTCATGCGCTGTACCAGCCAAAATGGCCGCTTCTGAGTGATCATAGTTCAACCCACTCAGGCATAGATCTGGCATCTTGCTGCTTGCACCTTTTGTCCCATCGTTGACCTCATGGTCAATGCGTTGAAGCTCGGCCACTATGTCATCATCTGTCAGTGCCACGAGAGGAGAGGTCACTTGTCTTTCTCCCGTTCTCGATCCCTCTTGTCCTTTCCGCCTTTGTCTTTCTTGCCCTTGCCCTTGTTCTCCTCGGCCTTTGCTTTGCCTGAGCCCTTGCTCTCGTTCTTCCCCCCGGGCCAAATGCGCTGGCTTGCCTGCTTGTTTTTCAACTCTTCTCTCAACTCCCTGTTTGCGGACCGGCTCTCCTCGAGGTCGACGAGTTGTGAGGATTCCGCAGGGGTCAACTCCAGCTTCTGGGCCGACGCCCAGGAGGTGCCTCCTCCCAAAGCTTCCACTGACTTGAGTCGTTGAAGCAGAATGTCCAACCCCAGCGCTGCTTGTCCTTCGAGGATTGCGTCTGCCGCTGAACAAATGTTCAAACTCTCCCTTGCTAGGGGAGGGGAGAGTCGACCTGCCAACACTTGTCTGTGGTACTGGAGGCATATTGCAGGTAGAGCTCCTTCTCGAGGGGCCACTGGTAGCCCTTGCGACGTGAGCAGATACTTCGACATGTTCTGTATCGTCTGACACGATAAAGCCCCGGGGCCTCGCACGGCTGCCCTCCGTATCTTGTGGGAGTCCTCGAAGAGCTCGTCGACCATGCTCACTGACCGGCTGTCGCCACTGCTGGTACCTGATGTCTCGTCGGAGTCGTCTTTCTTTGTCCGCATTGCCTTGCGGGCCTTCTTCATGACGGCACGGCGAATGCTGGCATCGGGGTCCAAGCCAGTGAACTGGAACAACTGCTTCAGCTCCTTCTTGCCCTCTACCTTCCATGCCTTGGCCTTTTTCTTCTTCTTCTTTCCTTTCTTCTTCTTTTTCTTTTTCTTCTTCTTCTCTTTGCTGGACTCCGATGTGCTCGTACTGCCTGAAGTCTCTGCTCCCCTCGCGGCCTCTTCCGCAGGAGCGCCAACTCCTTTGCCCTTTGCTTCTCTGGCCTTCCGATCTGATTCGGCTGCCAACTTGCGCAACACTTCGGCTTCGGCCGCCTCCTTCAAGTTGTGAGCCCAACCCGGAGTGTCTACCTCCAGCAACCTCAAACGCTTGACGTGAATCAGGTCCTCGCTCTGTGGACTGTTGCTGCAATCGGCGCCGCAAAGGTGTCCTCGAAGCACGCGATCTTCCTCGGCTGTCAGCCAATTGAGTAGCTGCTCGTCCGAAGTTCCGCTGACTCTGAACGACACCTCCATCTGCCCTGCCTTGAGTGCCACGCCAACCAGTTCCACGGCTGCTTCGACAGGCCTGTCCCAGTAGAGAGCGTCCACGCTGAGCTTCTTGCCCGGCACCAAGTCGGCCACTGAAACTTCTCCGGCCTCTATCCATGCTCCCGTAGCAAGTTCCTTCCTTGCAGGAGCGTCTAAATGCTCAGCCGCTGGTCGGGCTCTCACTCTCCTCCCCTCTCGTCCTCTGGGTAGGGCTGCTGCAGGCCTTCTCTTCGGGGCCATCCAACCCCCGTTCACCAGCGCTTCTTGTAGGCCAGATACTCTTTGAACTCGAGCTGACGGCCTACCTTCTTTACTCCTTTGTTGGTCCAATCAGGTCGAGGTCCACGATCTGCCGGAGGGTATCCTTTCCAACCTTTTCCTCGTCCTCTGCCTTTTGAAGGGGGTGGATAGTCTGGGCTTCTGGGCTTACGCTGGATCGAACGACTTGGTCTCCGTGAAGGTCGAGGGTGAGCCTCTGGGTGAGCTGAAGATGAATGGCCTTCCCGGGCCCGTTCCAGCTCTTCTCTTCCTTCCTCTCGGCTATCACCTCGCTGCCTTCGTTCACTCTCCTCCTGCCTCCTTCTCCTCTTCCGTGACCTCGATCGCGTCCTCCGGGATCTCTTCTTGTCTCTGGCACTGTCAGAACGAGGAGAGAGGTCCTCCTCTCCCTCCCTTTCGTCCTCCTCTGTCTTTACCTCTCCTGGCACTGCAACTTCACTGTCTTCTTTCTCGAACTCCTCAACCTCTTCTTCCTCAACCGGTTCCTTGACCTCAGCCTTCACTCCACAAGCGGCTTTGGGTGCTGTGGTGCGGAGTGCGACCTCCTCCGAGTTGAATGCACTGTCCTCACTGACCTCGTGCTTGGCTGGAGCCTCTGAACGATCACGTTTCTCTCTTTGGTGACGTGATTCACGGCGGTCTCGATGGGTTTTGTCCTTTTCCTTCTTTGGTGCCTTGTCTGATTCCTTCTTTGCAGCTGATGCCTTGCTGTCTTCACCTTCCACGTGATCCGCCTCCTTCTCGACGGCCTCTCTCACCTCCCTTCCAGGCCCTGCCTGAGGAGGCGGTTGCGCAGGAGCAGGTGCCGCTCCCCCCGCGCAGTAGGAATCACCCCAGTCACACAGCTCTCCGGCCAGGACACGAAGTCTGTCTGCCGCGAACGGCACGTATCCAGGCTTGGGCGAGAAATCTGCTATGTGCCTGCAGATTCTCTTGAGGGTCGAGCACACGCCACAACGACACGGTGGCGTGTGCCCCCACATTCAAAAAATGAGCCGGAGCTGCGGGAAGACACCGAATTAGGGGGATTCTCCTTTACTTACGGGGACGAAACAGCATATGTTATAATCATACTGGCATTAATCTGTATATTACATATTGTAATAATCTGCGGTGTAGTTTTACGAAAACAACAATTCGATAGCATACCATCGAATCAACGTGTAACAACTAGTAACCACCTATACTATTGGTTCTGCCGTGTGTAAAACATTGTACATATATTATGGTCAAATTTTACATCTTACAGCACCAACTTTCAGCGCCAGTCAATAACCGTCAATCACAATGACTGGCCGCCTTCTTGGTAGTGAGGGACCTCCTGCAGTCTGACTGCCAGCTCATCACTGGTTTGTGAGGCAATTACTCTTGGTCGACAACATCATAAATTCGTGCAAATGAACGATGCTTGCGCTGCAGTCCCCACTCACCTCTGGCAGACCCGCCGTCAACACCAACCACCTCAGGTGCATCCCGAGTGGCCAGAAGCGCATCATCTCCGCGCCCGCGAAGGCGCGCGCCAGCGCGACAAAGACCTCGTTCACCTGGTCACAGTGCGTTGTTTCTTCCTGGATGGGTTGATTTAGGTGGTTTGGGAGGGTGGAGAGTTGAGTTGAGAATTCGAAAGCCCAGGATAATCCAGGATATATATATATATATATATAAATAAGGTATATATTATATATACATACATAGCTACAAGGCTCCTGAAGATCTATCCTTTTCTTGTCAATCTACTGGAAATCCGCCGCTGTGGGTCCCATTGTGGCAACACTGGGCCCCCGGCAGGCGCTCGATAAGAAGCCGAATCAAACAGACCGATCCTCATCTACTTCTTGGAAGCCGGGAGAAACTAGTAAGTATTCACCAGGAGGGGATCTATACCTTAAAAGGGCACCTTTAAAATCACCCAGCAAAAAGGAAGAAGAAGACAGCTCGCAACGGTGATCACTGCATTGCTTCCTCGTGCATGATGAGCACAGGCCGGAGTGTAACTTTAAGCACCTGGTTGCCATGCATGCCCCAGGTTCTTTCAGAAGCACCCAGCTCGCAAATAGCCACAGTTTTCTATGTAAGCAAAACTTCATGGGCAGCATCTTCAATTGGAATCAGAACTCATTAAAGGTTCAAGAGCCTGACTGTGATTTACCATCTTCAGACATCAACCTGGCACTACTGCATTCACCTCTTCTGGGTGAATCCTTTGAGAAGTCCTTCTCAACGTGGTCTGCCCGAGTCAAACGCCAACACGGCATCTCAACAGCCAAGCGCAGTCCCCGCTCATCCCATGCAAGAGTCAAGCCAAGCCAAGCGACGATGAAACCCACTTGGCAGCCAGGACGGTGGACCGACTCTTTGTTGAAAAGGGCGAACATGGTAAAACCAACCATGACCCCAAACAGGGCAGCAATTGCGATCAGCAATTCAGTACCCACGTAGGTAGAGGCAAAAGGCAGCAGCGCCACCTGCAGTCAGTCGTTGCTTGAGGGCTCAACTGCAGCAACAACTGCTCAACCACAGGGGCCGGCAGCCAATGCTGAGAATCGTTCTCCACCAATGCTTCTACAGCACCATCCTTGCCAAGGTCTGAGCCAGAACAAGCCGTTTTGCCTTAGGCGTCAAACTGGTCTCCCTTGGGGGCACACCCTCCGCTTGCAGCAGAAGGGGTAGCAGGCCATACTTGCCGTGATCTCGGCACGGATTTCTCCACCTCAGCCTGCCGCCGAGGTTTGCTTTGAGTGCTTCAGGCTCAGCCGCACCAACCCCAGACGTGAAGAACGCCCGGCTCACCTTTTTGGTCCTTCTTGGAATGTTTTTGTTGCCTTTTTTGTGTGTATCCCTACACCTCCAACGCCTCCAAGTACCTCCTCAGAAGGTATTTGGAGGCTAGGGTGAGGAAGAAGTGGAACTGGAGCCCCGTAGAATCGCTGGTTTGGAAGACCTCTGCCTTTTCTTGTCCTACTTGCGGATTGTCACGGATTTGGGGTGGTTATTCAGGGGGATGTCCATTTAAAAGAGCGGCGGTAGATGCGATCGAAGTTCCCAGTGGCCAGTTTGGCCAATTGATGTTCGAAAAGCTACTAACCTTCAATGGCATTCTTAGGTCGCCTTTTGACCATTGCCTTCCCCAAGACCCCAAGACACCATAGACCATAGACCCCCTTCAAGGCTATGACCCCTTCAAGGCTTGCATCCTGGTGATGCCACGCTTCTGAAGTCTTCGCAAAGCTGAGAAATCCCCAAAGCTGAGAAACACCGAAGTTGAACACTGTCACCAGGACCGTTTCGACTTGTGACCATTCCAGAGCTATGTGAATCTCGCAAGCTCACCTCATTGGGAAGGGTGAGGTTCTTAAGGAGACTACATTGACATTGCATGGGATAGCATGTGTTTGTTGTAGTCTTTCGACACTGGCGAGATATTGTACTATTATGTATATATATATATATATGTCATAATGTGCTATTACATGCCATTACTAGCAATGGAGCAATCCGTGGCACTGAATCTTTCTCAACTTCATCATCCGAGCACCCGCCTGTAGGCACCAAGCATGGGATACAAAGCTCTGAGCGGGCCCGGGTGTATGCCTGATACAAAGCACTGGTGAGATCTGTGAGACCCTTTGAGAGATCCCAGTTTGAGGTCACAAACGAGCCTGTAAAGATCTGTAAAGCGTCACTTGGGACTCCAAGAAGGTCACTTTGAAGAAGCTGGAATGAACCGATTCTGTTGAGGGCCATCGAAACATGGCTTAAAACAAGTAGCAAAAGCAGAGAGTCTCAGAGTGGGAGGGAAGGATCTCCAGATGCCACAAATCAGAAGGAACTGCAGGACACCCAAACTGTTTGGATCCAAATGGGGTGAACATGGGTGAACCCATCCCCTTCGTTTCATGCGTCGTTTCAGGAGAAACCACCAGCATTGCTGGAGCAGAGAAGCAAACGTTTTCTTTTTCCTACCTAGCACTTCCTGTCCAGGTGCCCTGTCTGGAGACCTGTAAGTCGTAGGGTAGGGTAGTCTAGCCAGGACACCCACTGGATGACCCTGGTATGATTCCGTACACTGTGTTTCGCCCCAGACGGCGTGTCTCTGAAATACCAAGCTCCTGAGGAACTGACGCAGAACTGACGCGCAGCTTGCGGGCGCTTTTTACCCCACCGCAGCTTGCAAGCTATAGGCAACATCGAAAAACAGGGCTTCCTCCTCCCCAGATGACCTTCCAACGAAACAGAACAACACCTTTCACCCGCCTACGTCGTAGCATGTCATACCTGTACTCGCCTATGAAAACACCCGCCGACCTGGCCCTCGTGGTCTGTTGTTCTTCACCCAGTGGCAGCTCGGCCAATGAGCACTGCTGCAGCAAGGTGTCGGGTCGGAAGACTTGCCGGATCGCCTCTGGCCTCGACCGCAAAACCGCCGACTCCTCGTGCTTCGTTCCCACCGACCACGGAGCACCAGTCGAACAGCGCAGCGAACGGGTGCTGAAGCGAACGGTGGCTTCGGCGCCGGCACCGGCACTGCTAGACGTTTGGGAAGAAAAGACCAAGACGGTCCGGACGTTCTGCGCACGAACACCGAACAGGTCCGGACTTTTCGAAGCACCGACCGACTGCTTGGAACGGAACTTCCGAGTCGAACCGTTTTGGAATGGAATGTTTACCAAAAACATGGGTCAAACGGTCAAACATGATGTCCAGGGAAGAGGAAATCATCCTCCTTGCAACACGTTGTTCAATTTGTATATGTTTCATGCTTGACACGGTCCGTTCTGAACGGGGCCTTTCTCCACCTTTCTCTGGTTTCAGGTTTCTTTCTGTCCAACGTTCGGCAAATGGTCCGACCCACGCGAGTCACCGAGAACGTCCACCGAGGTAAACGCCGACCCCTCACCCGGTCGACCAGAATTTGACCTCCTGTTGAGTCTATCGTGATGTCTATAGTGTGTAGTTGTGACGAACTCCAGTTAAGATGAGATCTACGGTCTACAGTACCTGTAGGGTAGATGTTCTTGTGAGTGATGTCACTTTCGACCCTATGGGTACCCGAAAATGGGACATGACCCAAAAGAACAACAGGTACGACTCAGGTACGACTGTATACTCATGTGTGGAATTTACAAATTTACCCCCTGGAAAACTAACATGGACCCTGAAAACCACTGGTTTGTAGAGGAAAACTGCCTTTCCGGGTCCCATTCTCAGGGTCCATGTTAGTTTTCGGGAGTGTAGGTCGAATCCAGGTAGATGGATTGCCCAAAATTCCAACCTCAAAGAACCCCCAAATATCCTCGGACACACGTCGACACGTCTCACTTCTTCACCCAGCCGCGTAGTGAGGCTACTCCCAACTGTCGCCATGGCGGTGTTCCAGTAGTAGTTGAGGTCGTGAAAGCGAACTCCGCGCAACCTGAAGCCGGGCAACCTGGTCAACCAGAAAGGTAACGATCGTGGTTCCAAAGACTTCAGCCGTAGACCGAGAGATCGTAACGACGAGAGCCCGTGGTTCCTCAATATAGTCTTGCTTTAATTTGTCTGGCTCTGTCTGACATCGTGATGGGAATCCTATGGAACTACTACGGAACCCTGTATAGTATTTGGAAATACAAATGTCCATTAGCAGGTTGGGCTGGTGTAGGGTAACAGCTGCTGATTAATCTGAGAATCATGGAACAACAAAAACCATGGACAAGATGACACTTGCTCAAATAGTGAAACAATCGAGCCGCTGGGCGTGTCATCGCCTGTCTGCCACTTAGACCTATCAAAAATTATCAAAGGCAGGTCCCTTTGATCGCTTGGAAGGTGCAAGTCTTCTCTTCCATTTTTCATTTTTCTGCAGGCCGGGCGCAGCTTCAAAAGGTGCAGTTGGCCGAAAACCCGATCAGATCGGCCCTGAAATCTGACTTGGAATGGCTCCAGTGTGGCTCCATTAGATCCAGAATGAAATGTTGGACTCAAATTCATGATCCTGCATAGGGTCTCAGTTCGTACCTCCAAAATCCTTCATGCATACAAGTACCGTGTTTTGTTCGGGTCATGTCAGATTTTTGTTCGAGTACGAAGGAGATCCTACGGCCCAGGGGGTTTCGGTCGCCCAAAAAACGCGTGCCGGGGCTTTTCCGGGGGACGGTGGGCATTCCCTGCCTGTAGGGCCAGGACCATAAGAGCACCACACACTCGCCCTGGTAGGTTCCAGCACAGTGCCTTGCGGAGCTGTGGTCTCCAGTCTCGAGTGGATGGTTTTGAAGCCTTTGGTTGGAATCAGGGCACCGGCATGGAAGCATGAGAAACACCCCTCAAGGTTTCTAGAATATTCGGGAAAAACAAGGACAAGTTGGTGAGAAAGGGGCATTTTCGATCACTTGATCGATGAACTGGTCCTTAGGCCTCTGCTTATTTGTTCATGCCCAGACCACCCACTTCATGGCGAGGAGACGCAAGCTGCGGCTGCTAAGGTTTATTAATTGATGGAGAAAGGTATCACAAATAGGCATCATAAAATGCAAATTCATTGCAAGTCCGGACTCCACAAGTTCTGGCAAGACTAAAACTACGGACAATATAATAACAATTTGAAGATCAGGTTGTAAAAGAATAATACACTTTGCTCCCACCAGGCATCGCAATTGACTCATTGAATTTATCTTTCAAGTTCTTGCATCTGTTTGTTAGAGCTAGGGGATTCCCAAAACACCGAAGATGACCCAAATCCGCCGACCCCGTTCTAGAACGTGAGCGTGAGCGGAACCGGGCCCGCGTGCTCGAGAAATGGCCAGATTTTGACCAAATTTTGGAACTCTGTGGTTGTTCAACTCCCCCTTGGCGCGCAGAATGTGGCGATTCCGCTCCTCCTCTCCTGCTTCTCCTGCGCTTCTGTCCTGTTCCTCCTCTACTCCTCTCGTCCTGCTCCTGCCTGCTCCTCTCTTCCTGTCCTGCTCCTCTTCTCCTCCTCTCCTGCTCCTCCTCTCCCCTTTTTTGGTGGGCCTTCAGAGGCGTCGAGCTTGTTGAGATGTGGAAATGGTATGGATTGGCCAAGCCTACATATAGTGGTTTCTAGGCGTTGTGGTATATTTGCAAATCCTGGCGAGCCTTGCAGTCACATCAACCAACCTCCTACGACCCTAACATGACCCCTCCCAAGGCCCAGGCCGAATTGAAGTAGTAGGGGGCACGCGCGTACTTTTGCGTGAACGTAGGGGAGAGCGTCGAGAGGGGCTTTGTTGGGATATGGGTTTGGATGGACCAACATAAAAACGGGGGGCACCCCCATAGCATCCACATGCCTCTTTTCAAGGGACCGTGGTGCGAGATATGCTGCCCGAGTGGCTTTGCAATATCAGCATTTCGTGCTTTTGGTCGCTCTTCTGCAAACAAGCAGCAACAATAATAACGGCAGCCACCACCACAAACACAACAGCAACAGCCGAAAAATCAAAACAAAGCAGCAGCAACAACAACAACAACAATAACAACAACGCCAACACCACCACCACCACAACCACCACCACCACCAACAACAACAACAACAGCAACAGCAACAGCCACAACAACCACAACCACAACCACAACCACCAAACCAACAAACCAACAAACAAAACAAAACACAACAAAACAAAACAAAGCAAAGAAACCCAAACAAAACAAAAAGACAAATCAAATCAAAACAAACCAAGCAAACAAACAAACAAAACAAACAAACAAGCAAAAACAAAAAAAAAAAACAAACAACCCCCGCCCACCCACCCACCCACCCACCAACCCACCCACCCACCCAACCAACCAACCAATCAACCAACCACTCAGCCAGCCAGCCAGCTAGCCAGCCAACCAACCAACCAACAACCACAACAACAACCACCGCCACCAACAACCACCACCACCACCACCACCAACAACAACCACTACTACTATCACCACTACTACTACTACTACTACTATTACTACTACTACTACTACTATTACTACGACTACTACTACTACTACTACTACTACTACTACTACTACTATTACGACTACTACTACTACTACTACTACTACTACTACTACTACTACTACTAGTCCTCCTCCTCCTCCTGCTGCTGCTGCTGCTGCCACAACAACAAAAACCACAACCAACAACAACAATAACGGCAACGGCAACGACCACGACAACAACACCCACAACAACAATGCACAACCTCTAATGGTGGGCCTGCTGGCCTGCTGGTGGGCCCCCAGGGCGATTCCATATTACCAAGCTCAGGGTGTGTTTGTGTTTCCTTGTCTCCCAATGAACCAAGTCACATGAAGACTGGCATCAGTCATTCTGTAGGTGTACGACTGTGTTTCTCTTAGATGTCTGCCTCTACCCTCAGCATGGTCTGATGTGCAACGGCATCGAAATCTGCTTAGCGCTAACCCTATCCCCTCGTGATTGGTAGCTACTGTCCAGGGCTTCGTAATAGGTAACTCGTCTTTACCCCTCAGGCCCACAGCGCAGCCTTCAAACGAATAGGCGACTAGATTGAGCGTGCACCCTTTCGGCCACTCTATTGCGCCAAGAGTGCCCCACAAGAGTGTCCTACAAGAGTGCCACAAGAGCGTCCTACAAGGGTGTCCCACAAGAGCGTTCCACAAGAGTGTGAGACAAGACTGTCCCACAAGAGTGTCCTACAAGAGTGCCCCACAAGAGCGTCCTATAAGAGTGTCCCACAAGAGTGTCCCGACCCACAAGAGTGTCCCACAAGAGTGTCCACGAGTGTCTCACAAGAGTGTCCTACAAGAGTGTCCCACAAGAGCGTCCCACAAGAG